CTCGTGGGGCACTGGCCGGGGCGCGCGCTTGCTGGCAAGGGGGGCTTGCGCAAGCTGGAGCCCTGGGGGCGCAATGAGCTCGAGGACATGAAGTGCTCGCAGGTCGGGGCCGCGTGCCACGCGGGGGTGACATCGCGGCTCGCTGGGCAGGGGCTGTGCCGCGCCGAGCTCTTGGAGCGGCCTCCGACGCCGTCGGTGGCCCAGATCGCCTTCTGCAAGTGCGCGGCGAGGCGTGAGACGTGCGCGCAGGACCAGCAGCAGTTGAACCGCGACGCGCCAGCCGCGCAGGGGTTCGGTGCCGAGGCGCAGCCTCCGAGTGCACGGAACTCAGACGTTTTCATGCGCGGCCTGATGCTCGAGGTGCACCGCCGTGCCGATCATCGCGGCAGCGATGTGAGGTTGGACATCGGGCTGCGGTGCCGGTGCAGCGCAGGGCCGCGGGCCAGCGTCGACCAGCTCCGCTGGCGCTGGAAGCGCGCAGTGGCCATGCGTTTCCGTCGCTCGCGCCGCGCCGATGAGCTGGAGCTGCAGGTCGCGCCCGCTGCGCCGCGGTGGCGCACGCGTCGCTTCAGCGCCCTCGGCGCGAGAGTCTGCCTTTTCGTGGATTCGCATGTGACTGGCGTTCGCTGCGACAGGCCGCTCGTCGTCTCGCCGCCTCAATTCCGCGCTATGCCGCCTGGGTGCCCGCTGCGTCGCGATCTTCAGCGCCCCTTTCTCCATCCAAGTGCGTGTGGTGGACAATCCCGTCGATGGGCCAGGCAGGGCGCCATGTGTGCTAAGAGGGCGAGATAAAGCGGGGCCGAGGGCGCGATGGGCGCGGAAGGCGGCGCGAGCGACAATGGTAGGCTGAGCGACAATGCTTTGATTAGGTGCGTGATGACGGAATGCGTTGACTTTGTGAAGGTCTTCGAGTGGGCGCATGGTTGAACAGGTTCTGCCGCGCGTCATCAATCGTGACCAGCTGGGCCAGCTGCGCGCAGAGTGCATCGAGTTTCTCGGGGGCGTGGGCGAGCCGAAGGGTTGGGCTACATGCGCCCTCGCAGCGGCGCAGCACTTCATCCCGGGCGCCTTGCGTCACCTTCCGACAGCGCGGCGGCGGAAAGCTGCGTGGGGTAGCCTCGAGTTGCCAGAGCGGGCTCCGCCATTGACGGAGACGGGCGCGTTGGCAATCGCAGGGGTGATGTTCGACGTGGGGCATCCGCTTTCTGCGCCCGCCGTTGCAGTGGCGTTTCAATGCGTGTTGCGAACGGGCGAGGAAGCGCGACGTCGCGATCGCCAGGGCAGGCAAAAAGTACAGTCATCAATGCTCGTCTCACAAAGCCTGGCCAAAGGCTTGGGCACGATATTGTCAGCGTCGACGACGCTGTGCTCTCCAGAGTTCTCCAGACACTCCAGCCTGGGGACCCCTTGGTTGCCCAGGGGCCCTGGGGGTTGCGCAAGCTCTTTTATGGGCCCCTTCGGGTCCTCGGGTTGTCGGCGCATGAGTTCAAACCGTGCTGCCGCAGGAGGGGTGGGGCGACGCATCGCTGCTGGGTGATGGGGGTTCATGAACGAGGCAGCCCTGAGAGGGCGATGGGCCATCTTCAAAACAACCCGAATCTATACCACATATGCCCCAGTACAGCTCCGCGAAGCCACGCTTACTGCTAAAGAAATGGAGGAGACCCAAAAGTTCAAAAGTGTTGTGATCAGAGCGGCTAGTTGGCCATCCTGGCGCGGGGCGGAGGCACGTTTTTCGCTGCCCGACGGGCGGCTGTCTGTGCGAGGTAGGCCCCGTGAGCGCTGGCCAGAGTGGAGGCGCGGATGCTCCCAGTTCCCCTTGTGCGGCCTGTTTGCCAGGAGAACGTGCATGGTGGAGCGTGGAGGCTGTAGTCTCAAAGACTTGGCCCTGCACGGCCGCGTTGGCCCAGGGATCAAGGTCGGGACTATGCCCCCCGCTGCCGTTGGCGGGAAGGCGAGCGCCTTCTACAGCCTGCCGCGCGGAACCCAGGGCCCCTCACGAGTGATCCGTAGGGCTCCATGGGTGGACCCGTGGGTGAGGCCTCTGCGTAGGTTCGGCCCCCCCGAGGGGCCCTTCTGGGCAGCCGTCGTTGGGGTGCCCCCCCCCTTCGGCGTGACGGGCCCTTTTGGGGTGGCCGTCGTCGAGGCGGGCTCCGCCGACTAGGGGGGGTCTGGCACTTGCGCCAACGCGCGCAAGTGTCGCTCTGGCGCGCGACTGTCGAAATGGACGCCATGATGGATGTGCTCTTCGGGGAAAATGAGAGGGGAGTGCGGCGGCTTCTTCCGTAGTTGTCTGGACCCAGGGGCCATTCGCACAAGCTGCCCCCAGCCAGCTCCTGCCGTCCTGGTTTGGGGTCGGCTTGTGATCGTCACCCGTCCCGCTGCAAGATTTTCTTGGCTTCTCCCGCAGGGAATGTGGAGGCTGTAGTCTCAAAGACCTGGCCCCGCAGGGCCGCGTTGACCCTGGGATCAGTCAGGATCGGTACTGTGCCCCCCGCCGCCGTTGGCGGGAAGGCGACCGCCCTCTACAGCCTGCCGCACGGAACCCTGGGCCCCTCACGAGTGGTCCGTAGGGCTCCATGTGTGGAGCTGAGGGTGAGGCCCCCGCGTAGGCTCGGCCCCCCCGAGGGCCTGTGCCGCGTGGCGACTTGGGGGGGGGGCGTTTTGAGAGGTAATACAACTTAGTCCCCCTTCCTTCGGCGTGACAAGCCCTTCTGGGTAGCCGTCGTTGGGGTAGAGTCCCCTTTCGGCGTGACATGCCTTTTGTTGTGATGACGACGATGATCCCGATGATGATGTTGATGATGATGTTCATGGTGGTTGTGATGGTGGTTCCGGTTATGGTGATGATGATGTTGATAATGTTGGCGTTGTTGATGATGGTGGTGTTGATGACGATGATGGTCATGACGATGCTGACGATTACAAAGATGATGATGATGATGATGATGATGATGCTGATGATGATGATGATGATGATGATGATGATGATGCTGCGGCTGTTGCTGATGATGATAGTTAGGATGATGAGGATTCTGACTATTGATGGTGATGGGGATTGTGGTGATACTGGGGATGGTGACGGTGATGATGCTGGTGGTGGTGAGTATATGCTTATGGTGACGGGGCTGATGCTCATGATGCTGAGGGTAATGCGGACGAAGATGTTGAGTGTTGTTGATGATGATGGTTCTGATGACGGCGATGGTGGTCATAATGCTGATGATCATGCTGATGATGATGATGATGGAGTTGCTGCTGAGTATAGTTTCGGTGGTGGTGGTGATTATCATGGTAGTTACCATGGCGATGGTGATGGTTGAGATGATGATGCTGGCCGTTGCGGTTGCTGTTGTTGTTGGTATTGTTGTTGGTATTGTTGTTGTTATTGTTGTTGTTGATGTTGGGGCTCGCACCCTGTTCTTTATCTGGGAAAGTCTTGGGTCTCAGAATTGAGCCCCTAGCCCCCGAGTTGCAACAACAACAACAACAACGGCTCCCGCACTGGACCTCCTCACAAATTATTCCCAACTCGCGCTCTCGCGCGGGACTTCCTCACGGTGTATGCAAAAAGCGCGTTCGCGCGTGGGTCTTCCTCGCAATTTATTCAGACGCCGCACCCTCGACACTCAGGACTCACGCTTTCGCTGTGGATTTCGTCACGATTCATTCGGGCATTGCGCTTTCGCTCGAGGCTTCCTCGCGATTCATGCAGGACGCACGCTTCAGCAACCCGCCTGCTCGACCTGGCCGCCTCGGCCCGCCTGAACGTTTTTCCCAATCATCCTGTGCCTTCGGGTCTTCGTTTCGAGTTCACGGCCCGGCATTCCTCCTCCTCCCTCCGCACCCCCCTCCTCCGCTCCCCGCCACCACACCCATTTCGGCATACCCCTCACACGCTTCGTGGCCCCATAGGGAGTTCCATCGAAGGCCCCAATGGCTGCGCCCGCATGCGTCCCCCACACCCATTTCGGCACACCCCTCACACGCTCCGTGGCCCCATAAGGAGCTCCACCGAAGGCCCAAGTGCCACCGTCCACATGCGTCCCCCACACCCATTTCGGCACACCCCGCACACGCTTCGTGGCCCCACAGGGAGCTCCACCGAAGGCCCCAGTGGCTGCTCCCGCATGCGTCCCCCACACCCATGTCGGCAGGTGGAGGAGAATGGCCGTTCGTTACATGTGACACCCTTCGGTTTCACTATTTGAGGAGCCCGCGTGGAACTTGTTTGGGCCGTCTTGTGGTCGTCTTTGCCTCCTGTGTGGCAGTCTTGGGGGTTCCTGGGGGCCCTCTTGGGCCGTCTTTGGGCCCTCTGACGCGTTCTTGGGGCTCTCTTGGGCCGTCTCGGGATCCTCTTGGCCGCATTATGGCGGGTGACTGGGGGACGTCGTGGGGCCGTCTCGGCGACGTCTTGGGCAGTCGAAAAGCCTTTTCAGGCCGTCTTGTGTCCCACGGGAGGCCCTCTTTGGCCCTGGGCCGTCTTGGGGCCGTCTTGCATGCCTCTTGGGTCATCGTGTGGTCCTCTTGGGTCATCTTAGGGCCGTTTTGTGGCCATCGAGGAGGCCTCTTTGGCCGTGTGACGGAAGCCCGAGAAGGCGAGACTGGGACAATAAATCCAACATCTGAGGGAACATCAGGATTTGATTTCTTCGCACCTTATTGGAGGTCCTATTGTTGCCCTTTTGGGCCCTCTTGGAGGAATCTTGGGCCGTCTTGACGCCATTGTCGGCTGCCTAGGGGCCATCTGAAGCCGTCTTCGAGGCACTTTGGGCCATCTCGGTGTCCCTGGTTGCCTGCACGGCCCGTCCTGCAAGCTCGGGACGCGGATCCAGAATTTGCCTTGGGAGCGCGGACTCACAGTTCTTTTAACGTGGGATCCTGGCCTCGGGAGGGGGGGCGATGCATGCAGAAGTTTGCGAGTAGAGGTGGGGTCCCTCATTAGAGCAAAGGGCCCCTGCCAGAAAGCACTCACATTCTACCACGCCACAGCTTGCCAGGGGGCACGGTTGCGGATCACACTTTTGTTGGGACGAGGGCACTCCAGTGCACCCGAGTGACCTCGGTGCTACGCCGCACATGTCAAACTTCCCTGACGACTCCTTCTTCGGCTTCGCCGACCAGATCTCCGAGGTCGGGGCATCTCCTTTCTCGACCCGTTCTGCTGAGGCGAGGCGCGGTAATCTCTACCCTGAGATCCGACGCCGAGAAAAAGTTGCAGCGTCGCGAAGAAACACGACTGGAGCCGCAGAACCCATCTTTCTGCGGCATTCCTCGAGCCAGGTCGATATGTGATGATCCCGGTGTCCGAAACCGTGCGAAACCGCCCAGCGTGAGAAAAACGCAACGTCCAGATCTCAGGGTAGGAGCTCTTCTTCGAGATCCACGTCTCGCTCTGGTGGATGCACGGGCGGAGGCGAGTTGCCGCGAAGGTGGTGTCGCGGTCCACGCTGGAGTCCAGGACGACGCCGCCGGACGAGGCGCACAACCTTGACGAGACGCTGGTCCACTTGCGCGAGTCTGGGAGGAACATCTTCTTCTGGGGCCTGAAGAACTCGGACCCAGGGGGGAAAAGGTACCAACACCGCTACCCTCTGGGTCTCCTGAGAGGCTCTCGTCGCCATGGCTGGATTCTGGTCAGAACGCTTCCTGGGAGAGGTCCAGGGAGTAGCGGTATGGGTACCTTGTGGTTTTTCCGCGGACAGCTCGAAGAAGAACAGCAATTGCATAGACATACATTTTCGGACGTCCGCACGGATTTCTTGGTCCTGCTGGGCCGCCTCCTGGCGGCTCCTGCGACGCCGCCCCTGGCGCGCTCCGCGCGCCAGGGAGGGGGACCCAGCGCAGATCCAAGAAATCCGCGCAGATCCCAGACAGTTTCTGCGCATGTCGTTGTTTTCCTCTAGGACAGCAGCGACCATTCGCATCACAAGCGAAGCCGCGTAGGTGCTGCTGCGGCGAGGTACGTCCATAGTGTTGCTTTCGAGGTGGCCGTCCCGCTTTTTATTGTCGCCAACGCTGCGCTAATCGGCTACCAGGCTGACTGGGACATGCACAACTTGGAGTATTCTGTCGCCTCCGGCCACCCGCACCAACACGCCTGTAGATTGTGCATGTTCGAGTGTTTGGGCTAAGCGGTGCCCCTGGGTGCGTGGCCGAACGAGGGATCCAAGGGTGCAGGCTCTCAGATCTTCGCTATGGCAAGCATGCTTGAGCTATCCGCCAGCGCCCGCTGTTTTCCTTCAATCCCCGCATGTTTTCCCAAGGTTGACATCTTAGTCCCACGAAATGGTGTTACCCCCTGGCTACAACATCGGCTCCATCGTCGCAGTTACACATCCCGCCCTCCAGCCTACCACGGATTCTCAGATTTTTGAGAGCGTCACGCCACTGCATCTCCGAACCCCAGATTCTTGAGTGTTTGAGGGATTCTGCACCTCTGACCCAGAAAGGCAGCAGCGTCTCGAGGGCTGCTTCACGGAGAGTTTCAAGGGTTTTGCCTCCTCTCCCTCTTCCTCCTGCCTTTCCTCCTCTCTACCTCCCTCCTCCCTCCCTCCCCCTGCCTCTTCTCTCCTCCTCCCTTCTCCCTTCCCTCCGTTCTCATGCCACCCTCCTCCTATGATCCCTCTGCCCTCCATCTTCATGGGAGGCCAAACGTACTCCAGAACAGACGTATCCTGGTAAGAGAGGACCTCAGGCAGGCGCTGTGGATGGCCCCGATCGAGCCCCCCCCTTGGGGGCCACGATCCTCGTGAGCGGTGTCAAACATTGGCCCTCCCAGGGGCCGAACAAAAAGAACCCTCCAACCGATCGCGGCCCTTCCCGTCCAGGTCCAGGGGAGGGATCAGGGGGAGGGGTCAAGCTACCCACCCGCCCGCAAGCCGTCTTGCTCACTCCCACCCGCCCTCCCAACACATAACAAACGCCCCGGCCTCAGCATGTTCAGCGGTCGTCTGTGGATGGGTAGCTACTGGGAACCAAGACCGAGCCCATGTGCGCGACGCTGAGGCGAGTTGCGCCACGCGTGCCAGGCGCGCCGCGCGCGCCAGGCACCCCTTGGGCCCGAGCGTCCCAGACAAGACTGGTGCGCCAGATGTGCCACGTGCCTCCGAGTGCGCTAGGTGTGCCGCGTTCTTCGGCCGCGCCAGGTGCGCCGCGTTCGGGGCTCGTGCAGAGTGTGTCAGGTGCGCCTGCGCACGTGACATCACGCATCGGGAAACATGGCGGCCCCCGCCGTCCATGTCGAAAGCCAACGTCCATCATTGTGTCTGGTGGGCCTTCGCACAGCAGGCAATGCGCCGCCACTTCGCAGTGATCGCGGAGCGGCCGCGCATGATCCAGATTGCGCCGCGAGGTGCATTTTGCATTTTTTCGTTAGAGATGGTCGCCCTGCGCACAACAGGCAATATGCTGACACCCCCGCCGTCCCTGTGAGTGCTCGCGGGCCTCGCAAATCTGACACCAGAGTTTGCCCCAAAGGTGTAATGTTTTTTGAGAGGGATGGTGGGGGGGGGGCGCATCGGGGGTGTAAATCAATGGGGAGCAGTGGTAACCCCTTTCCGAAGGGGAAGAAAGGGGTTTGGGAAGAGGAAAGACATCCTTAGACCACCTGTCGCCCAAAGGGTTGGTAGGATTTTCAGGATGGGCGATCCTGCATAATCTTTAGGCACAGAAGTATGCACGGCGGGTTACCAATAAGTCTGGCCGCAGAGCGGGGATTTTTTCTTTAGTTCTTTAGGGAAATGAACCAGTTATGCAGAGTTTAAGTGGCCAGCTCCACTGCTCGTTGTCAATTCCAAATCTCGGGCAAATGTTCCACCCGGGCTCCCGCAATTTGTTGGCGAAGCTCAACAGGCGCAGTGACGCGAGGACCCTTCTCTTGCAGATTCATGACACGGGCGGTCGAGTTCTGATGATGATGATGATGATGATGATGATGATGGTGATGGTGATGGTGATGGTGATGGTGATGATGATGCTGATGCTGGTGATGATGATGATGATGCTGATGATGATGATGATGATGATGATGATAATGATGATGATGGTTGCTGTGGCGGCGAGGGTGACAACGACGATGCCGATGCCGATGACAAAGGTCATGACCACGGTGGGGATGGTGACGACGACGATGGTGATGGTGATGACTGTGGCAATGATGAGGGTGGCGATGATAACGAGGGTGCAAGTGAGGGTGTGAGGAAGTTCGCGCGCATACTTTCATAATGTTCGACATGTTTTGGATGGACATGCTATGGTGGGTCATATGTTTTGGGCGCAGTTGTGTTGAAACTCGTAGAACATTGACATTGGTGGAAGGTATTCGACGTGTGCGCGCGGAAACGCCCGCGTGTGGTCTACATGTTTTCATTCGAGTGCTTGGTGGTTTCGGACATGCGCGCGCGTGTGGCCCGCATGGTTCCTGTCAGCAAAACATATTTAACATAACCAAGAAAGATGCACACGTATTTTGCTGAGTGCGCGAGCGCAGAATTCTGGCAACATTGTTGTTGTGAACAGGAAGTTTACAATCATATTTTGTGATGAGACTTTCGACATGGTCAGAACAAAGTTGTGGAATGGTTTGACATGCTTGAGCGGGGTCGCGCGCATGTGGCTTGCCTGGTACTACTCGATAGGGGTTTGAATATGACGCATTGAAACCAACGCGTGCGCAGCGCTTTCTTTGTATTTGGCACGAGTACGGGAGGAGTTGATACCGTGTCGTGTGGCACGGTATTTTTTTGTTTATTTTAGAGCAGTAGGATGAGACGAGAGTTCGCGGGGGGGAAATTCTATCCCAGGCTTCGTTGTAGGGGGGGGGTAGAGTGCTTTCCCAAACAGTGCTTGCACTAGGTCGCTCGGGAAATTGATAAGTCCGGCGAGGATTTTCCATGCTGCCGCCCGTGACCGCTTTGCTGCTGCCTCGCGCGCTGGGTGGGTCTTGCGAGGGCTCGCCACGTTGCCGCCCGCGGCCGCCTCGTTGCCGCCCTTGCCGCCCGTGGCCGCTCCGTTGCGGGCTCGCGGGCGTCCAGCGAGACTTCGCCGCGTTGCCGCCCGTGGCCGCCTCGTCACCACCTCGTGCGCTGGGCGAGTCCAGCGAGCTGCCCCAGCAGCGTGTCGCCCGTTGTCCCTCGCTGCCGCGTCGTTCGCTGGGTGGATCTGGCGGGCCTCGCTGCCGCCCCGTTGCCGCCCCCTGGGCTGGGTGGGTCCGGCGAGGTCTCCCCACGCCGTCGCCCGTGGCCCGTGGGCCTCCTCGTTGCCGCCCTGTGCGCTGGGTGGGTCTGGCGAGGTTCTGGGCGCTTCGGGGAGCCCCAGCAGCCCCGCCAGGGACGATGCCGAGGCGAGGTGCCCTGGTGGGGTGTGCGGAGGGGAGCATGCAGTGGGACAAGGGGGTTTGGGACGCCGTCGTGCCCCGAGAGTCCAAGAGAGGGAGGAGGGGAAAGGAAGGAATCTGATGATGATGATGATGATGATGATGATGATGATGATGATGATGATGATGATGATGATGGTGATGATGATGATGATGATGGTGATGATGGTGATGATGATGATGATGATGGTGATGATGCTGATGGTGCTGATGATGATGGTGCTGATGATGATGGTACTGCTACTGATGACAATGCTAGTGATGCTGATGATGCTGATGATTATGGTATTATTGATAATGACGATTGATGATAAGGATGATGCGGATGATTATGAATCTGTTTATGCTGATGATTGTGATTCTGACGGTGATAATGACGACGATGATGATGACGATGCTATTGATGATGTTGATGATGATGCTGATTATGCTGATGACGATGATGCTGAGGATGATAATGGTGTTAATGGTAGTGATGCCTGATGATGATGATGATGATGATGATGATGCTGATGATGATGATGATGATGATGATGATGATGATGATGATGATGATGGTGATGATGATGCTGCTGATGATGATGATGATGATGATGATGATGATGATGATGATGATGATGATGATGCTTCTGATTATGATGAGGATGTTTGAGATGATGATAATGATGATGGTGATGACGATAATGATTATGGGACGGAACATCCGCAGGTTGTGCAGGTCATAATGTGAAGGCAATGGTGGAGGTGGGCGAGAGTGTGCTCCGTGCCCATTTTGGCTCTAGCACTCTTCGCTCCCTCTGCCAGGTTTTGTCTTCCCGCTCCGCTTCGCACCTTGGACAGTCAGGGGTGCGAGATGGCATTCCCTTTGGACGAGCAGCTTGTCGAGATGGGCTCCCTGGCCGCCGTCGCGAACTGGATCGACATCCCGGGTGAGGCCAGGGACGCGCTGTTCGGCATGATCAGTTGCAACCCCAGGGACCACCCGCGCGACCTCGGCAACTTCAGCAGTGCCACCTTCGACACTGCGCTCGAAGGGCTCCAGGTCGGAGGCTCGACGCCAGGTCTGGCGCTTCTTGGCAAGATGCGCCTTCTCTCCAGGATCTGTCGCGTCATCGCAAAGTGTGAGCCTGGCCCCATCACCGAGCAGGCTGGGGCCTTGATCGATGCTCTCAGGGTCGGCCTCATCGCGATTAACAAGGTGTTGTCCCAGACTTCGGAGGCGAACGTGAAGCCGCTCGCGAGCGAGAAGATCAAGGCGCACCTGAAGGCTTTCGGGGGCGTCTTTGGGCGTGACCCCCTGCCAGAGGAAGAGTGCTCGACGGAACACCTTTCGGGCCTCCGCAGCCTCCTGGACGCAGACGTGGCGCCCTACGTCTATTTCGCGGTGTGGGGCCCGTTCCACCTTCAGCTTTTGCAGAAGCTGCGCGTTCAGGGGTTCACCATTCACGAGGGCGGCCTCCTGAATCCAGTCACCCTCCACGGGCCACCCGGCATTGGCACGTGGTCAGAAAGTTACCGCCTGCTCCTCACTGGCCTCGTCGGCTTCGAGGCGGCGTCTTGCGGCGCTCTCGTGGACCACTCGCAGAAGATTGTGGACTACGACAAGCGGTGCGGCGCGGACTTGTGGCCTCCCCTCTAGCAGGCGGACGTCCGCTGCCGGGAGAGCCACACGGAGCGCGCGCGGCGCAAACTGGA